GAGATGCTTAGCAACATTCACGCCAGCATATGAACCGTGGGTGTGGGACAGAAAGAGAGCAGGCACCGGGGCCAACGCGGTCCTGGTGGGAGGTGGCAGTGTGAGAGTGTGTGTGTGGGTGTGTGTGTGTGTGTGGAGGGGGTTGTGACTTGAATATGATTTGGCAGAAGACTCAGATTTCTGTTGCTGCTGAATGTTGATGCGATTCATAAGACAAAAAAACATGTTTTCAATCATGCAACAGGTTGATGTCAAGTGTGGACGCCATCTTCCACACTCTGATTGCCTGTAGGAAGCCAATCCAGAAGTGCTTCAGAGCGTAAATCAGTTTTGCTTTCTCTTAAATGATAAAGAAGAAGGTACACACACCCAAATCTTCAAAAAATCTTCCTTTAGTTAATGTTTTTTCCTGCATATAACAGCACTGGGGGAAACAAAAAGCAGGAAAAACATTATATTAAGGAAGACACTGAAGATTTACAGTAGGTGCTTTAAAAAAATTATTTTAAATGAATATCATTCTTGTATCCTTTCTGTATGGGTAACATCCACAAACCTGTACGGATCCACTATTCCATCAAATACAAATACAATAAATTGTGTCATTTTATACCAGTTGCTGAAAACTCAGAATTAATATTTTTGGGGATCTGTGGACAAATATAAACTACACACATTTTTGTTTTAAAAACAACTGGAATTGGCTGAAAAGCAATACCTCAAAATATAGAAAATGAGGAGCAGGGCAGCCAGGCTGCAGACAAGTGGTGAGTTAAGGAAGCCAGCTAACTATCATTGGTAACATGTTTGGGTTGGCTAAGTGATCACATACCATAGCTGCCACATGCCAAGTTAATCAACAAACAACAAAACATCACCTGAAACATGAAACATGTAGGATATTATAATTAACATTCCTGTGTACACTGCTGTTTTTTCATTTCTTCATCTGTTTGAGACTTTCCCTTCCCGCCTATTTGTCTTTACACCTCGCACCTCCCTCCATCTCTCTCTGCTCCATCTGCCCTGTGATAGAGCCTTTAGATCTCACTTGTGCACAGACTCAGGCATGTCACATTTTCAGCTTCTGCCATGGTGGAAGACTTGATGTACGACATAAAGGCCTTTCATTACCATGTGGAGATGTGCTTTAAGTTGCTGCTTTCCAGCTAGAACCAGTTCGACCACAAAGTAAAAAGACAAAGCAGTCAGACATAATAATAAACATTTTAACTAGTGAAATGAAACTTTTAGACATGTTTTAAACATTGGCATGTTTGTCCATTTTCTGAGATAAATTTACATTTGTTATATTGCATGACAAGGACATTTTCAATAAACAAAGATATGCTGCCACAAAACATGAATCTGTATTAAATGAGCCTGATGGATTGACTGTATCCGCTTCAGTTTCTACTCATCTAATCCTCTGCATGAGACGTATTTACAAGTAGTGTGTTGTGCTTTCACCATCTGACAGTCTGAGTCAACTTTCCAGTTACCACAGCAACAGCACACACACACACACACACATAAACACAGATTAATGAGCTTGGCACAAAATGTGTTGATGCTTGATATTACTCATCTTGCTCGAGTTGTTTTGAGGACAGGGTGAAGGAGGGATGAGAGTGAGACGATGGACTCAGAAGTTCTCCTAGCATTTGATGGTTTATTAGTGCGACGGCCAGAGGAGGGAGCTGTTTGCCTTAAAGGTGCAACAGTTAGTTCACGTGGTCACATGCATCTATATCTGCATACATCCACACAGAAACACACACACATGCACGTACAGATATACATACTGGGGAAGTATCAGCTGTTGCTATGGGTTACAGATCTGCTAATATTTAAGGAGAGATGACTTAGACTTACATAGTGGCTTGTTTGTATTGCACTTGTATTTTCACTTTACCTGACCTTCAATACTGAATTAACTGGAGCGTTATTTATGTAAATATACAGTAGAACTGTTTTTTTCTTATCAAGTAAAGGGAAGTCAAAGTTTATTTATATTGCACTTTAAGACAACGGCATGTTGACCAAAGTACTACACAAGTACATTAAAACAATTTAAACAACACAAAACAGTAGGAATTAAAACAGAATGAGACCACAAACAATTACTAACAATAAGAGAATATATAGACTCTGCTAGGACTCATAGGAGAAGGCAAATAAGGTTTTAATGAAGATTTTCCATTATCCATTATGATCCAGGATTTATATCTCCTATCTATTGCTTTATTCTTCTGTTCATTTTTTGATTATGTGAACAAATTTTTGGTTTCAAGTTTTCCTTGAAGTGGCCCCTCCAGTTAAGTGTGCTGTTACATAATACGCGTCCTAGTTATAACACATTCCAGCATGGTTGGATTAATGAATGGGTCCACTGGGCACAGGCCCAGGAGGCCCCAGAACACAGAAACGTGAAGGTACTGTTAAACATTCTGTTGGAAATTCAATTAAATGACTACAAAAAGTCACAATATTAGAATAAATAGATGCAAAACAACTCCAAAGAGAAACAAAAGTACTAATAGACAGCACTTAGAGAACACACACCTCTGCCAAGAGAGCTTACTGTCCCCATAATGCTATTCCACCTAAAAGCAATATTCCCCTGATAGCTTGAGCTTCATAATATGATTCTTTGACAATGAAAACCTTCTCCTAGCATTTGCTATTCAGAAAAATCAATATTTTAGTAATGTTGATTTTCTTCACAGCCGTTTCAAATCAAGAGTCATTGATCCTCTGCTGAATCAGCAAAGTTTCAGCTACAATTTGGTGTTAATTGCTGTCTCTAACTGGAAATGTGAACATTCTAGATCCAGAATATCACTTGCATCCAGATCAGACTTTGGGGTATGCTAGATCTTGTGAGGCTGCTATAGTGCGATTTTTGCCAAAGCATTGTGCAGCTTGTGTTATATATGGAGGTAGAAGCTAAAATATTCAAACTGGCACAGCGGTTCAAAAATTGTGACTCCAGATAAGCTCCAGAAGGAAAGCAGGAGTTATTTAAAAAAAAAGTGAGTCTAACAGTCAGGCTGTTTATGTCTCTGCTGCACCGATTTTGATTTTGATTTTATGTCATAATTTAATTTTTGTGTTTTGTTGAGTCCCGCTGCTTTATGGTCTTTATAACTTGCTGGAGTCTCTTGTTAATGTGATTAAATAAGACATGAATTATTTCACAGAACTAATGCAATGGCATTAGTTCTGTGAAATAGGCACACACTGACTGACCCACCATGCTGGCAGGGGGAGACGGCTCATCATATTACACTCTGTTATTAATAGCTACCCTCTCTCCTTTCTCATTGTAATGTAATATCTAACATGATCTCACACGGAGTTCTTGCTGCTTACATCTGATTTTCTCTCTCACTTCATGTTTCCATTTCTTTCTTTCACTCAGATCAGGTTTTCCAAAACATACTCCACACGTATGCATCTGACGAGTGTGGCAGCTAGTCCACATGACAACCACCATCCACAAAATCATTTATACAAATTCAAAAAGCCTGTAGGCTCCTGTATAGTGCCACTGCTATAAATTAAGTGTCAAAAGCCAGTGTGGTTTTAATTTAGACTAAAAAATCATTAACTCAGTTATAGGCTCTAGCTCAGGAGGCAGGGTATTCCAGAGCTTGGGGACATGTACGGCAAAAGAACGAACACCTCACTATTTTTAAATTGTCCCTGCAGAACAACCAGAGAAAAATACTCAGAGGAGCTTTTGTAATTTAGTGGGTTTAATCCTAAGGTGCAAAACAAATAAGTGCAAATCTGACAGATGATGTCTGGGATCTCACAAAGCATCTCCATGACAACTGGACATATTTTTTGTTTCAAGTACATTTTTTTGCTGAAGAACCAGTCTTCAAGCCCATTTTAGGGAAACCAGTGCAATTGCACTATATATGAAGCACCATCAAGTAGAAACATTCTAAATATTTTGTCATTTTTGTATTTTAAGGCACAGCTCACTCAAAAACAAAATGACACATTTTCTACCTGGACTATTTTAAGTGTTAATCGTTATATGTAGATAAACAACAGCGTTAGGAATATATGAAGGCCTCCTGTGCAGGAATTGTGTAGGACAATGAATTATCCTGGAAAAAAATAGATTTTTAATTGATTTCAAAACTGAATTCTGCATGGACAACTATTATGGTGTGGAGAGTCAGCGTTTAACAAGCTGCAATCAAGCAAGCAATTCTTACTTCACTGTGACTTTAGCCAGTCAGATATCATTCTGGGATTTGCTTTGGATGGGAGACTGTCAACACTCGTGTATGTTGGAGTCTGTATCTTCATTTTTCTCTGTCCATCTGTGCCTTCATGACATATCTACCCTGTGACCCACTGCGGGAACGCCATCTTGTCCGCAGTTATGACCCACTGATGCCTTATTTTTAGCGAGAGTCTGGCTCCTCTGCAAAACTTAATATGGGAATGGCATCTTGAAGCTCTCATCGTACATTGGCCCATACTTTCAGTCCTCCAAGACACCAAGCTCTCCAAACAATCAACACAATAATTGTCCCTTTTCATAAACATGACCTCAAAAAGGTGGCTGCATGAGCAGAGCACAGCTCCTCCCATGTTACCACCCAACTGATATTTTTCTGACCACTGCTCAGGAGTCTGCTACACCAGCCCCTCTGACTTGTGCAAAGCTCTTGGATGAGTGTCTTGCTTACTCATGTACCAATTTGCCTACACAAAAAGGGCCCCACCTCTTTCTGTGGGCAGTGGCATCAGTAACACCACGTGTATCCCTTTTTTAAAGAGGGGTGGCACTGACAGACCTGCTCTTCTCTAGCTGGGGGGGACAGGAAGTGGACTTTGTTCCTTTAGTTGCTTGTCAACAACCTGCATTAGGGACAACGTTACACGCCTTAAGTGTATTTTTTCCCCTTCCACCCCACCTCAACAGTTAAGTCTCTGAGAAGTTCCATTGTTCTGTCCAGCAGGTGACAATAACCATGAAGTGGGGCTGGGTGTTTTTAGGGGTCTTCCTTTCTTTGGGGACCCTGTCCTGGGGAGAGGCGGGCTTGCAGGTCCCAGAGTACGATGACAAAGACCGTGTCCATGACCTCACTGCCAAGAACTACAAGTCCATCATGAAGAAGTACGACGTGATGGTGATCTACTACCATAAAAATGTGGCTGGGAACCGCAGTGCCATGAAGCAGCTTCAGATAGAGGAGCTGGCTTTGGAGGTGGGTCTCTGCCAAAGCATGACACTGGATGAATCCGTAGTCCATGTGGGGGAAGGGTCACAGTGGGAATTAGGGGAAGGAAAGAAATGGGTTTCACATGAAGAAATTGGCTCCAGTCGGGGATTCCTGGATGCAGCCACGGATCCGACACTTAGAGTTTCAGATGAGAAGGATTATAGCTGTTGACAAGTGGGAAGAAAGGCAAACACAACAAGTGCAGAACATTCAGTAAGTTGAAGGATTTGTGAAATCTTCAGGTGTGGCAACCTGCTGAGTATGACTGGATAGATGCTGACCTGAAAGAGGCAGCTCGGAGAACAGGGCATCATGAGATAGAGAGCTACAATATGATGAATGAATGATAGGGAGCTATACGTGCTGTCTTATTGTCAGCAGAATGAGTCAACTTGCCTTGACCCATGGAACCTAAAGAACACAGCCAGTCCAGCATCTGAAACAAAGAGATTTTTAGTAAGTGCACTGTATTGGTAACAAAATTTTGACCCTGTAAGTTCAGCTGGGAAGCTTTAGTGTCACCACTTGCTGTCTATTAAAGGTCTCAGTATGCTCCCAAGCATCTGAAATGACCTCCTCCCACGCCTTTCAGCTGTCAGGATTTGGTTTAGGTTGGCTGCATCTTTGAGGAGCAATAGATTTTATGTAAACAAATCCATGTAGTGATCATTGCTAGGCAAAGTGTCTAAAGTACAATGTGTTAATGTACAGTATTCATGTGATATGCTACTGATTTTGCATCAGTTAAATGTAATATATAAATGTAGCTCCTCAGGTTTACTTAATTATACACCCACACCCAGTAAAAACACAATGGTCCTCTTTCATCAAGCTACTGTAATACTATATCTTGCTGTACCAATAAAATGAGCAAAATAACATGAGCATAATAAATCAGGGACTATATAGACTTAACATAGAACATTTTTTTCTGTCCAGGAGCACAGAGAAGGACAATTTTTATATTGTGTACTTCTTCCTACTGTATTGATGACTTTGCCACATGCAAACATGAAACATATTTACTGTACAGTTCAATTTAAGTGCAGAGGATCTACAGAGAAATCACAATGGGGCAGGTACTGGAAATGAGTCCTTCCTCTGTCAACAGCTATTGCAGAAGTGCCTTTAAACCAGTCATTTCATCTTAAATTGCTCCAGAGGTGGTTCTACAGCCTGTCAGCAGCAGAAAATGTAATGTACCATGCATCTTCTAGAAATTCTTATTGGACAACTAAATCTAAAGGACTCTACCAGCCGCAATCGATGCTGACTGTGGGTCCCAGATGCAGTGTGTTTACCAGAGCAATCTTCTGCCTGTCGGAGCAGCAGTGTCCTCTTACAGAGGCACAGTGTACTTTTCATTACCCTGCGTTATGTCACCTCTGGAAATAGCTTGGGACAGGGCTGCATGTTAGGCAAGAGGTTAAAAACCCTCCTGGGACAGGAAGAAAGTTTTATTTATTTCACCCGCAGCTACTGTCACCTCTCTTAGGCAACACACACTGTCCTATTTTATGTCGCTACATACCCCTGTGGGTGCAGGCTGGGGTCCTAAACCATCATTTACACACCCAAGTTATTGGATCTGATCAATTTTCTATCAGTGCTGCCAAGTTGCAGTTCTTGGCTAGAGAAAGACATGGTTACTGGAGCAGGTCCCTGCCGGACTGCTGCTCAGTTACTGACTTCCTGCCACTTGTTACCATTAAACCAATCAGGAAAGAGTACTCAAGGTGCTTAGAGGGGATGCTTAAAATAGTGGTCATTACCAGCCATAAATCAGGGAGTATGAATTATTAAAGCACAGCGCACTACCCAAAACTAGCTTTGTTTAAAGCCTGGGCCATACATGTATGAGACAAGAAGGTTCATTAAGCAAAATCAAAACATTTTCAGTTTGTGTGACTATATACTTGACAATTTGAAGATTTTTCTCCCTGTAGCTCTTTCTTTGGGTTTTCACATATACTGCCAGGCATACAAGAAGGTCTTTCTTTGATACCCAGGAATAGAAATGGAATGAGTTAAATTTAACAAATTCTACCAAATAATTATGCCATTTCTCAATTTGAATACAAGTATTTTATGGGATAAGTATCAAAAGATTTTTTTTATCCTGCAGATGTAAACAATTCTGGTGCATGACTTGTGCAACACACATAGTAACAACGTTATTCAGTCTCACTTCACAGCTGCAAGAAGCAAATTTCAACTCTGACTCTGCTGTGCCGCCCTGTGCAGTGACAAGATGGTTCATTTTGTAAAATGACAAAAGTGTCCAGTTAGTTCACATGTCGACCTACAATATTGGAGATTAGTATAAGTGTGTTTGTACAGAAGGTATAAAGATGAAAACTTTGTCAAAACAAAACTTTTCTAGAAAAAAAAAATGATCACATTTCAGTGATCAAGGAAGTGAGCATTTTATTAAAAAGCCAAAGGTTCCAAGAAGCAGCAAGGATTTTGTTGGCAGAACTGATCTCATTTAGCCCCTTGAAGTAAAGATACATACAGTAAATATGAAATCTTTGTTAAATCCACAAAACCAAGATGAGGAGGTTGGGAGGGCACGTGTTTCTCAGCTCAAGTATCATTGTATACTAAGTCGTGCTATACACCTGAATGAGTATGATGGAGCTGACACCTACACAGCCGGTGAATGAGTCAGTGATTGTGAAGCATGAATCAAACAGCTGATGTCTTCTTTGCATGAACCAACACAGTGCTTTCTTTGTCACACCATGACATTCAGACAAACCTTTTATTTATTTATTTGCTCATTTGAAGGTGAGAACACTTTAATTTCACCGAGGTTTTCTTCTTTAGCTTGGGGTTTAACGTAGCTCTCACCATGCAGTTATTCAATTCCATTTAATGTCTGCGAGGGTAATTGCAGGTGTCTAATGCTGTGTTTAATGAACTGGAAGCAAATTCAGGAGACATGAGATAGATTTGACAGACCAGATGAGTTGGTAATAAGATAAAAAATACAACCTAATTCACCTGCAGCACTTTAGCCAAAAACATTTCTCATCATTTTATGACTTAGTCCAAATATTATGAAGCATGAGTCACCCGAAGATATGATTAAAGACTAAGAGGCAAAGGCTGTAGCTAAACGAATAAGAGCAATGTGTTACACTGATTAAACACAAATGATCATGTTTGAAATAGGAAAATTGTAGGTCTCATGCTAATTTTGATGCCGATTAGCTTCTTTCAGCTTTCTTTCCTCTCTGTCTCTCTATCTGTTGGCATTTTGACCTTTGGCATATCACATACTGTAAATGCCCATACTCATCAATCACTGCACTCACACAGCTCAGATTGCAGCAGATCTTTTACTTGCCACCCTTTTTACACACACATCTCCTTAATCTCACACTGCTCTCTCTGCAACACCTATAGAGACAAGAAATGCAGCTCATACAAAATGATCTAATGTTACAGTTTTTACCTTATTTAGTGAGAACAAATTGTTTTTATTTGCTAACAATTTAGCCACATTAGCCTTCAAATTCAGCTGCTGGGCAGGCTGATTAGTTACAGAAAAATTTGATAAACGGGCAAAGAATGCTATAAAGGCACATAACCTATAAATACTGAAAAAAGTTTAAAACACCACATAACTTCTAATGTCAGCGATGACATAAGGAAGACATAATCATCACATACTGTCGCTGTCAAAATCACTGAGAGGCTTTAAATAGAAACAGTCCATCTGCCAACACTACAGGGTTTCATCTTTATGTTAACACCTTCACAGACGTCAGAGTGCTTTGGCAGTTGGGAAATATTTTGCATGTGATATGACAACTGTGAATTGTGAATATATTAAAGAACAATGCTGAAAAGCTAAAATTAACTAATATCAAATATGATTAAGACTGAGACACTTAAATAGCAATGGTGATAAAGGTGGCAATACAACACAATATAATTGTTGTTAGCAACCAGGCTATTAAAAACGTATCCAAGTACCAATTTAATGCAAACTAAATAAAGGCTTCCATCTTTTATTAAATTTGACCACCTCTGAGCCATCTGCACAGACAGTTCAGGGCAAATCTGCAATGAACTCATGTGGAAATTATAGAAAACAAGAGCTTAAAAGTTTTTTCAAGAAAACCACTTTCACTTTTCCTCTGTCAAGCAGCATGGTTGTCAGTACTTAACAATTCCCTCCATTAAGCGACCCTGCTGTCAAGAGCTACATCACGTCTTGATCTTGTCGTACCTTTCTTCATCAATACCCCAGTCAGCAATGAATGAAACATGCACTAACTTAAGAACTAACTTGTCAGGTGTGATGTCGTTAAATGGGGCTGGAGTTATGTTATATTCTCTGATGACATCTCATTAGTGTTGTTGGATAGAGATGCTTGTTTGCAGACCACACTGGCGCTCCAGTTTATTCCATGTTAAACCCCCTGTTGTTTGTAGAGGATTTATAATAAAAGGTTTTCCTATTGATTTCAAGGCTTATAACTGTTTTTGAAACTACATATTTTGCTGCCTGCTGCACAGTCACAGTATGGGTCACCTAAGGGATGTTGAATGCTTCATTTGATAGTGTTATATTATCCCAAATACTGTACAACTTCTCAGTGATCACAGGCATGACTGTGCATCTGTGCAGTAAGTAATATATATACAGTATGACCAGAGGATATGCAGTACAATATGATCCTTGGATATTCTGCTAGTTGCCTAGGCAGGAAAGGAGTTTTGTGCAGAGTGAATATGATGAACTGCAGTTCTCAGGTCGATTTATTGCATCACAACCCTTTTCTGACACATATTAATTGTATTATATATTGTGTAATTTCATAAGTTGTACTTTACAGTATAATCATGCTGGAAGCGAGCCGCACTCTACAGATAAATAGGACTGAGTTTTCACATCGTCCTCTACAGAGCACATTTGCACATCTGAAAATCTAGTTTGGTGAAAAGATTTAATGGCTTTCTCCAATAGTGCTTCATCAAGCAGCTGCCAACTGCACTAGGCCTGGATCTGAAGTGCAGCTGCAAAAGAGAGGAGTGTGTCAAATCAACTAGTTTTCCCAAATAAAATCTACTCTTCAGCACCGTATATGCACCTGTAGTTCACTATAGTCACTTGGCAGGATTTTGAGATACATTCCTGAAATGTTGCTGCAAAAATGCAGAGTAATCCTATAAAAGCCACTGCATGTTGTCCAGCAGATAGCTCACTCGCAGTGAGCAGCCAAGCAGAATTCAACTATCATTCTATTTAGCACCTCTCTCACTTTAACACAGATTATTCTACGAATGCAGATGCTCATAAGGTTAGCTGCTACTACAGGCCTACCGTCGAACCTCAATAACTTCAGTCAGCTGCTTGTCCTCTGAAAAGTGTGTTGCACTGAACATGTAACTCGCGAAAACAAGATGGATAAATGCAGGTGGGATTGTGGGAGACTGTTATGTGACACCTTTGTGTTTCGGCTTACTGCTGTCAAAGTGAGTCATTCACAGATGGTCCTAGTCACTTCTGCCCTCACAAGTTGTTGTAGAGCTTATGTGCCTGGGAGATTTCTAAAACCTTTTCATGCATTTCATTATATATATCTCCCATGTTTTGCAGTGAAAGAATAACAATAGCACATTTTAAGTTAAAACAAGAGGATGAGACTTCTTTTAGAATTTAAATCTAATAACGCACTAATTTCAGCATAAAATCCCAGATCATCTTCTTACAAGCAGAGCAGTTACACTAGCACTAGTGTGGCTTTTATATGCTGTTGAATCTGAATGACCACGGTGTTATGTAACAGCCTGGTCTACAATGTCCCGATGTGCTACAGCAGCTTTTATTTATTTACTGCCTGGATGAGGGGGGGAAAGCCAGGATGCTCACTTATACAGAAAAATGGAAAATCTTCCTGCTTTTAATCTTTCTTCATTTTACTGATTCAGCAATTTGAGAAAGAGGAAGGTGTGAATTTGCTGTTTTTATTTAGCCACAGTGAGTCACCCTGAGCACCGCTGCAGTGTCTTTACACATTGTAGCACATCTGCTACAAATCATGCATACTTTAATGTTAAACATAGGGGACCTTGCTAACTGTAAAACGCGGTAAAAAGTGTGTTCTTGCAGAAGGATGCAACCATTTTGAGGTCTGGAGGTCTAAGAAGATCAGAAATTACTTTAAAACTTTGATGTTCCATTATAAGCATCTGGATGTTTTAGGCTAAAAAACTAAAATGCTTTAACAATAATGTGAAATATTTGGAATAAATGGAACAAAACATACAACATTCACTGATTTACCTACATTTATTATATAAATAAAGCTCTTCTCTGTTACTACAGCAACAAGGCCTCCAACCTCAACCTCTTTCCTACATAAACTTTGTCTCTTTACAGTACATCACCTGACTTTCGCTTGCTTTCTTTCTCACTAGAGGTCACCTAACAATAAAACAACCATGGATTATTTACCTGCTTGTACAGACAATAGGGTTGATAGGGTGGAGCAGTCTCTTGGACAGTATAACACGTGTACACAGCATCTGTATGGACACATTGGGTGTGAGTATTAATGACAGCAAATCAAACAGTAAAGCTGTTTCCCTGCAGCCGGTGTGAATATAGTGAGTAAAAAGTACAGTTTGCCTCTAAAATGTAGGGAAGTCGAAGCATGAAGTAGCAAAAAATGAAACTGCTTGAGTAAATTACAGATACCTCAAAATTGTACTTAAGTACAATAAAGTAAATGTACGACATTTCTTTCCGAGTGTAACTTCATATTTTAAGCAATTAAATGAGGAGAAAATTTTGCATTAAGAAATGGAAAATAATAACAGATCAGTTTATCAGTGTGCCAAGAGAACAAGCAATAAGAACCTCAATGTGCTTAAGTCAGCATTTTTCCTGCAAATATGCATTGGTATGCAGTGGCTTCACTGTGTCAGACTGTAAGCTCCTCTCCTTTCCATCACACCTGTTGCAGCATTTCTGCCTCTCAACATCGTTGGCTCAAGTTCTGCCCCTCTTGTTCTTCCGGAAAGCTGTCCGTGTTCCTCTCACACCAGCTATGGGGGCTGTCAATTGTTGGCTTCAGTTTCACTCCGATTTAGAAAGTGCAAGGCAGCAATCCAACGCTTTCGCTTTTTAAAGGTCTTGAAAATGAGATGAAATGCCAAGGGTTTACTAGTGTAAATTAAACTGAAAGTATGTTTCTAATGGAGCTCTGAGATTACGAAATGTCTGACATAGGCAGACGTGTGAATCTCTAAGATCAGCCAGAGTCAGGAAACGGCACTCATATGATACTAAATACAGCTTTCTCTTTATCTCCCTGACTCCCCCTCTTGTCCACACTCCCCCACACCTCCCTCTCTGTCCTTCTGTCCAGCTTGCAGCCCAAGTTCTGGAGGATCTTGCACATGAGGATGTTGGATTTGGAATGGTGGATGAAAAGAAGGACTCTGCTGTTGCCAAGAAGCTGGGTAAGCCCGCCAGTCACTGACAGAGACCTTGTTGGTGATAACGGCAAAAATAAACTAGCTCAGTGTAAATCATCACCTTCCATCAAATCCCACCACTTTTCTCATGGTCTCTGCTCATGTTTTTATTGAATGTGGCTGTTTAAGTGCTACACATCTCACAAACTGTCCGCAGTCATACATCAGCATGGAGACCAGCATTTACTGAGCCAATAGTGGTTGGCTTGGTCTTTTTGCATTTGGAACCTGCTGATTGTTAAATGAAATAGGAAGCCAATCAATCAATTTAGAGGACTTGAACCTGCTAATAACAGTAGCAGCATACAGTATGTCTGAGCATTTGATATACTTGAATGCTATAGTTGACAAAACAAAAGATGGATAGACAAAAATATATTCATCAATAATAAAACTGAAACTGAAATGTATTTGGAAACATGGGGCCCAATCTGTAGTAAAGCAGAAGTTCAGCATCTGACAATATTTGAAACAACTCTGCCCTCAGGTGTTCACCAAACATATCACAGCTTCTTTCCAACAGTGGCTGCTGTGAACTAGTGCTGAAAGAGTTACTACTCCAAAATGCTACGTGCTTGAAGTGGGGAGAAAAAAGTGCCGGTGTCGTGTTGAGATCCATTTCCCTGTTGAGATGTGCTTCCACTAACCTGAACCCTAATGTTATCCTAACCACGGCCACTGAGGGGGTCGCCACATGAAACCGGGTTTTTAATAGGGGGAGCACATCTCGACAGAGGAACACTTTTCAACACAAGACCAGCCCACTTCAAGCACTGGTGTCAAGACAATATGGCTGTGGAGTGAGTAAAATGGTGCAGTGAGTTATTGGCTGTAAAAACACAATCAAACAAACAATAAAAACGCTGTTGCTAAGACACTTTCCTCTCTCCAGGTCTGGACGAGGTGGAGAGCATCTACATCTTTGCCAACAATGAGATCATTGAGTACGACGGCGAGCTGGCCGCTGACACCCTGGTGGAGTTCCTCTATGATGTGAGGATGGGGCCAAGTACTGTGTCAAGCTGTTCACATGTGTAACTACAAAATTTGTGCATAAGATACATATACTGAGCACACCTGTTGTACCTCACTTGTCAGGTGATGGAAGACCCGGTGGAGATCATTGACAATGAGCGGGAGCTGAAGGGCTTCTATAACATCGATGAGGTTATCAAGCTGGTCGGCTATTTTAAGAGCGAGAAATCCCCTCGTAGGTTGAAGACCTAAACACCGAGCTTCTAACAGATCATATACTTAACCAGTCTTAAAATCAACTTTTTACATGAAGCTCTTGTTATGAGCTGAATGTTTTTCTTTATTTTCTCCATCCAGATTTCATTGAGTATGATGATGCTGCTGAGGAGTTCCACCCCTTTGTCAAATTCTATGCCACATTTGACCCCAAGGTTTAAATCGAATATTTATGTGCATTTATTTCCATGTGTTTATTAGAAAACTATGTGCTTGTAACAATATAAACATGCTCATCTAAATACAATATTTAAATGCTTTGGCTAAAATAAAATTCAAATAGTTAATAAAATGTAAAAAACAAAAACAGTAGGCCAGCTAGCTTTAACTTTGCATTTCAGATCGCCAAGAAGCTGAAGCTGAAGCTGAATGAAGTAGATTTCTATGAGCCCTTCATGGAGGAATCTGTCACCATTCCAGGAAAGCCCTACATCGAGTCTGAGCTTGTTGAATACATTGAACAACATGACAGGTGAGACCCTGCACTACACTAACAGGTCGGTCACAATCATTTCTATAATCTAATGACCTGTGACCACGTTCTGTGTAAACATAACCAGATCTTAACCATTTTTTTCTTCAGGCCCACTCTGAGGAAGCTTGAGCCTCACAGCATGTATGAAATCTGGGTAAGGCATCTGAAATTTTTGTGTACTTAAATTTGAAGGTATTCTTTTCACCCATAAAAGCTGCATTTGTTGCCATTCAATCTAGAGAGGAACTATAGGATAAACCAATCTTATCCCCCTTTTTGTGTCCACAGGAGGATGATATTGATGGAGAGCACATTGTTGCCTTTGCTGAAGAAGACGACGCAGGTACATTTCCATATTAGTGCCCCAAATGATATTTTACCCTTAGTGATTACACCAGCTGCACAACAAATGATCAAAGTGCTACTTTAGGGTACCTTCCCAACCTGACATTTGAAATTTTCCCTAGATGGTTTTGAATTCCTGGAAATCCTGAAGGAGGTGGCGCGTAAGAACACCAACAACCCCAACCTTAGCATCATCTGGATCGACCCTGACAATTTCCCCCTGGTACGAATAGTTCCCACCCTAACTGTATCTTAACAAGCAGGCAAATTATTTACATCACAGATTCTTATGTTGTTTAGTTTATGTCTTTTACAATGTCCATACCTATAACTGCTGCAAATGTCTTTCAGTCTAACCATGTCCTTCCCTCTGACTTTCAGCTGGTTCCATACTGGGAGAAGACCTTCCGTATCAACCTCTCTGTGCCTCAGATTGGTGTGGTTGATGTTGAGGATGTAAGCAATCTTTAACCCTCACAAAAACTAAAACAAAAACCTGGTGTCAAGTTATTTTGGAGTGTTGCTCAGTCTATCACCACCATGGTTCATGGAATATGTCTGTGTCATTGAAAAAAGCTCAGTGCCAGATGGCAGGCAGACACAGTTAGCAGCTAGTTAGTGAACATAGAGGTGCACGTACCAGCCAAACAGCCAGATATGCCCCTTAGGAGTTGGTAAATACCAGAAAAAGAGCTAATAGAGTTAATACTGGACTTTGACTCATCATGTGGACACACACACAAAACAATCCAACTGAATGTTACCATTGTTCCATATCTGCTGTGTAAATAAGCAACTGTTGACTAACAATTTTCTCACATCAAACTAAAAGGAAATTTCTACTTTCTGTCTTTACATTTGGTCAGACTCAAGAGACAAGCTTTTGAAATTATTCATGTAAAAGTCATGCTTATTTGGAAAGCTGCAAAAGGCTCACATAACTTGTCCTGCACCTATGTTTACAACATAGGTGCAGTGTGCAAAATAGGAATAAGCCACAAAGCCACAATATTTATGGGAAATACAGCAAGAATGTGGCTATTTATGGCCATGCTGACAAACTAAGTTAAATAATATATGTACAACTATACAATACACCATTAAAGGGCATCCTGTGTTTAGTAGCTGTAGGGAATCGATCACTATTTTATGCCACCTTCAGTGCTAAACATATTTTGCATTGCCAAAACCAATTTGTTAATACGTATGTGCGTGTCCTTGGCAGGCTGACAGCGTGTGGATGGAAATGGACGACCAAGATGACATGCCGACAGCCGAAGAGCTCGAGCAGTGGATTGAGGACGTTTTGTCTGGAAAGATTGACCCAGATGATGATGATGATGAAGAGGAGGATGAGGATGACGACGAGGATGATGAAGAGGAGGAGGAGTATGAAGATGAAGACGAAGATGATGATGAAGAGGAGGAGGACGATGATGACAACGATGATAACGATGATGACGATGACGACGATGAAGATGATGACGAAGAAGATGATGATGATGAATAAATGTCTGCTACGATCATTCACCTCACTGTGATTTAGCCAGTAACAGCAAACCGCAAAAGTAGCAACAGTTTTTTGTAACATCTTGCAGCAAACATATTTGTGTGTTTGCGTGGTTTCAAATAATGGTATAGTCCTTTAGGACTAGAATGGCCCTATGGGAAATCTTTGCTGTCACTTAGGGAAGGAGATTTACAAAGCAGCAGAGGATTTGCATCTCCATCAATGAACAGAGTTGCAGTTTAAAACGTAAGCGTTATATGTCCTTTAATACTGTATGAAAAGCCTGTTCACGTTGTACTTCTGAGACTCACAGTGTAAGCAAGGAGGCTAAGACAGGCTAACGTCCCTGACCTTTTTTTACCTAATGCCACATATTCACCCATCTCTCACATGTTTTCTACTTGATAAAGAGCAGAAACTCTTTATTGTATTAATTTTAAAGACAAAAAACCTAGACTCACTGACAGTCTTAAGATCATTAGTTTTGAAAAACTACTAAAATGCTGAATTATAAAAATATGAATAAAATAAAAAAATATAAAAAACAGTGTTCTTCATTGTTGTCTGCAATATGAAAATGTATTACTATTTGTACTATATGTGAGTAATTTCCATCAGAACGTTACATTTTACACAGCACAAATAAGCAAATCAAAGGCACCTAAAAACAGGGCAAAGCAGCACTGGAGAGAATCAGGAACAGCAGTAGAGACTAAACAACAGGCATTAGCCTACAGTAGGTCCAGAGTTTTATTGCTCTTTG